AATAAATAAAAAAAAAAAAAAAAAAAAAAAAACCTGAAACCAATCAAAGCCCTCACAAAAATCAGAAGCCCAGGATCTGTTGGCTGAACAGGGGAATTGTTACACACTGTCAAATAAGAATTAGTAATATCTATTCTTCTAGAACTCTTCTGAAAAGGTTGTAAAATTTTCCAATGCATTCCATAAAGCCAATTATAATCCCAATTCCAGCACTAGTCAAAGACATTAAAGGAAAAACAATAGGTCAGTCAGTATTCTGATGAACATAGATGCAAAAGTCTGTGAAATACAAGCAGAACAAATTCAATATTACATTAAAAGATTCATACTCCAAAATCAAGTTGTTTTATTCCAGAGATACAAAGAGGGGGTCAGCACACCCAATTCAATAAGCTTGATCCAGCAGATGGACAGAAGTCTTATGATCATCTCAACGGATATAGCAATAGCTTTCGACAAGATTCATTCGTTGACAATTACACACCAAAATGATGATAGATGGAAAATATATCAACATAATGAAGGAGACCATATGTGACAAATCCAGTCGGCACTATATCCAATACTGAAAAATGGAAGGATTTTACTCTAAGACAAGGATATCCACTCTTATCACTGCTACTCAACAGTGTTGCAAGTCAGTAGCTAGAGCAATTAGACAACAACAATAACAACAAAAATAGAAAAGGTATGCAAATGTAAATAAAGCAAAACTATTACTGTGTGCAGTCAGAAAATTCCAAAAGACTATCAAAGATGATCTAAAAGCACTACTTGAAAATAACAAACGACTACAGTAAAGTACTGGCAGGTTACAAAATTATCATCCCCAAATCAGCTGCATAGCTATACACAACAGCTGAAGGAGAAAACCGGAAAATAATCCCACTCATAACTGCAGCCCCAAATTACATGCATTGCCATGAATTTAACCAAAAGAACTAAAGACTTCAACACTGAAAATATTAAGACAATTTAAAGAAGACACTCACAAAAAGGGAAAATATTTCATGTACATATATTGGAAGATTTAACATTGCCAAAATGGCCATACTACCCAAAGCAATGTAATGACTCAATGAAATCCCATCAAAATCCCAAAGCATTCTTACAGGAACAGAAGGGGGAAACCCCCACAAAAATTATTTTTAAAAAATATCTCAAATAGCAAAAATCAAAAAATGCCTGACTTCCGGCAATAACACAAAATGACAGTAATTAAAACAACATGGTGCTGAAATAAAAGATGACAGAGGTCAATGGAATAGTACCAAGAACCCATAAATAGACCCACACACATATGGCAAATAATTTATGGCACAAGGAATATGTCTTCAACAAATGGTGTGTAAACGGAAACGATGATCCCTCTGGCCTGGTGGGGATAATCATGGTCCTGATGCACAATTCACACTGACTGACTCTGCAGCACGATACTCCTGAGACCTGACTCACAGGTCCCTCTAGCCGGCACACTGTTTGTGGAGCGGGGCTAGAAGGAGGAAGGAGGGGTAGACCTCTGATGGAGCTTGGCAGAAGTCCAGCTGACTGCCCTACAAACCTCTTTGTATAAGGGCATATACGATCCTTGGTCACCCCGTATTACATACACGATCTGATTGGTCTTTCCAGTTGGAACACCTCACAGGGGATAACCAATCAGCAGGAACAACTAAGGGGTGGGGACACATGCAGGTCACTCTTGGAGCGCACTGTGGAAGGAGGAGAAGCAGAGAGAATAAGCAGTGAGTAGGTCATGACGAACAGAGAACAGAGAGATGGGGAGAGAGGAACAGTAACTGAACCCAGGATGCAGGTTCCTGTTTCTGAGGCTGGTGCAGTTCGCAGAGATATACCAAGACAAGCTGTTATAAAAGGAGCTGTTTAGTAAAAGCTGTGACACAGAAAACCTCTGGTTCCTAAGAACCACTGTCCACAAGAACCCAGAGCTGTTCGCTCAGTACCTTCTGTCGCAGGAGCCAAACAGCTATCTGGAGAGCTCTATAGAAAGGCAAATTTTGGGGACAACAGACGTCAAGATAACAGATGGAAGATAACCAGAATGGAAGTTCTTGTATCAAGGCTCTACTGATGGCCCTATGGGATCTGCCTCTTCAAGGCAGCCACTGAATTTCTAGGGTGATACACAGGTGCTCTACCTAGACACAGCCTAAGAGTCTTTCTCGAAGTTCGGCAAACATTCAAATAAGGCCGACAGGACCCAGGGCTTCCTCATCTTCCTACACTTCCTTCTATCTGTATATCCCCTCTGAGTAGCCCCTCTCCGTACTGCCCAAGGGACCCTCCGGAGCAGGCAGCCTCAGGGGATGGAACCGGGTTACTGGTCTACACAGTCTGCAGAACTAGTCCCAAGAGTTGCCCAAACAGGCCAGGCCAATATGATGTACAAACCCTGTAAAATTCACAGCAACAATTAGGGGTTTCTGTGCACTCTTTTTTAGCAGATTGGGCTGCTGTTTGTTCTGGTGTACAAAGCGTAGGTTTTGTGTCCCTTCCTTGTACATGCTTGTAGAAGGCCGTGGTTCCACCTCCTCCATCACCAGAGGTTACCTGCGAAACAGCTCTTGGCCTTCCCTGGGTGTACACTCGCGCTCAGCCCTGCCCCATAAGGCTGCGACCCCCTGCCCTGCTGCCTGTATTCCCAGAGCAGTGGCTCTCAGCCCACCCTCAGGCTCATGCCCACAGGGCAGTCAGTCTTGCCTCTGCCCCTGGGTGCTGCCCAGGAGGCCCCAGTTCTCAGCTCAGCCTCATCCTCTGCTCATGGTGTGGGGGGAGGCAGAGGGAATCGGTCTCCTCCCCTGTTCCCGAGGAAACAAACGGGCTCAGCCTCCTCCTGGTCACAGAGCTTCACCGCCTGGTGTATGCCCACTGAGAGTGCCTGATCTCAGCCCCAGGTGCTCGCTCACCAGGCAAAGATTGTGCATCCCCTTTCACTCTCCAAGTCCCTGACTAAGAACCACCTTGTGGGACTCCTGGCCCCCAGATTGCTGCTTCTGCTTCTGAGTCTGCACCTGCAGACACGGTGAAGTTGGCTCAGCAGAGCTCCCGGCTCTGGGGGGAGATGCCTCCAGCCTCTGGTCTCAGCCCCCAAGGCCACTCCCAGGGGTATTCTCTAGATGGGGGCACATCCGTGGGTTTCCACCCAGGGCTGGTATCTCTGCACCGGGCTTGAGGTTTTTATCTCCTGCTGGTGATTCTATGCAGAACATTCCTGGCCTGTTACCCATGAGACACTGGTTCTTTGGTTCATGGACTTTCACCTACTCAGTGGCTTCCTGATGACCCATGGAAGTGGGGTCCCCTCCTTCATGGCAACAGGCACCTGGCAACAAGAAGTCTTGGGTTTGGTGAGAGGTACGATGCCCTGATCAGAGACACACACCTCTTCTGCTTATGTGTTTATAAATCCTAATGCAAACACCTGCCCGGATTATTAGGGAAGGTCTTCAGAAACAAGATTTGGGTCCCCAGGTTTGAGGACAACTCTTAAAGTTGCCTTTCTTTTTGTGTCACAACCCAGAACAGGAGGATCGAAGGATTCTCCAGAGAGACAAAAGGAGATTAGCCTCCTGGGAGCTGCCCCAGCTGCCTCTGGGCTTTTCTGTGCCACCTCAGTGGGAAGGCCCATGTGCTGCCACCAGCAAGGAGAGCGAGTGTCCAAACAGGAGGAGCCCCACCACGCCCTGCCAGCTGTGGCAAAGGATCCACTGTGCAAAGGATCGCCGGGTGTGTGGCTGTCCTCCGTGATCAAGAATGTCGGGTGGGACAGTCAGTTTAGGTGATCTTACAAAGGAAGCCAGGGAGACTCCCACAGCCAAGAACACTGGAGGTGGCAGCAAAGCTACCGACTGTCCTGGACATGGGAGCAGCCAGCAAAGTTTCAAACCCATGGTCAGGACCCCACGCCCCTCAGACCCGCAGCTGACTGGGTCACAGGCCGTGCGTGACACCACGCTACCTGTCCCCTCTGCTGTGTGGAGTGAGCATCCTTCTGTCACCCCTCACAATCAGGACACTCTCGTCTCCAAACCCTGGAGCGTACATGTGCCAGTGGACTTGGCTGTCGGCTAACCTTTTGTCCACCGATGCAGCTCCTCTGTGGGACAGGGCATCCGAGAGTGCAGCGATCTGGTCCCAGGGAGGTAGGGAAACCCACAGGGTGTTCACAGGACCGCGGACATACAACACACAACCATCCTCTAACCATGGCCTCGGAGTCTCCTACCAAAGAGCAGACGCTTCTCACCACCCTCCTCTGGGCAGATGACGGCCCATACGCTTCTGTTTGGTTTTGTCTGGGGGTCACACCAGACAGTGCTGGGGGGGGGGTGCTTCCGGAGGTTCTCAGGGAAGACGCTGTGTGTTGAGGACTGAATTGAGGCCTCCTGCACGCACTAACTTTTGAGGTCCCTCCCCAGCAATTCCGCCCCTGCCGTGTTCTTTACATGAGAATTTCAGCACAGAGCGTCTAGCCAACTCCGAGATCTTTCGGATAGTCTGTGTCCAAGTATTTGACTGTTAGTTCACAGACTGGGTTTCCCTCGAGAGTCGCCCTCTCTTCCCCCCGATGATGGGGTGGGGGCACCGGCACGGGCATCTCCTGTGCGGCTGGCAGTGTGCCCCTTGCTGAGGTTAAGCTGTAGCTCCCAGGGCTCTAACACTGGCACGCCTGTGCATCTGTGCCGCTGGCCGGAGGCCTCGGTGGCAGCTCACCCGAGTGAAGCAGCACCTGGCGAACGACCCCACAGCCTCACTCTGGCCTCACACCAGCTCCCGTGATGACCAAACCTTCCTCCCTAAAAGTGCAAACTCCCATCCTCACTAGCGACAAGGGGCCTATAGTCCGGGGGTTTCCTGCCCGAAGGTGCAGCCCCTCGCCCACAGGGTACACTGCAGGGACAGTCTGAGGGGGGCAGTGCGGCAACTGTGATGGCACTGCCGACCGGACCACTGGATGTGTGCAGGTGCCCGCGACTCACCGGCCCCAGGCTGCCTCACTCATGGACGCCTTGTTAATGGGGTCGCAGGACGACTCGGTGATGGTGGATCTGTTCACCTTGTAGCAGAAGCCACACTCGGGGTCCAGCATACACTCGTCGCAGAAACTGAAAGAGAAGAGGCCAGCCACGTCCGCAGGGCCAGGGAGATACGGGGGCAGCGGGAAGGTAGGAGGTCACGGAAGCGGCAGGGGCGTTCCCTGCAGCTATGGGGACTGCACCCCCGAGTGGGTGTCCCCAAGTGGGCAGCAGGCTTCGGGCCGCCCTGAGGCGCAGGCCTGGAATACCCTCGGGTGCCTCTGCTCAGTACTTTAAGCCAGTCCCCGCCTCACCTTGGTGTAACCCCTACTCTGCAAACAGCGCCCTCCATTTGACTTTTGAGGACACACCCAGTGGTGCCCAGGGCTTACTCCTGGCTCTGTGCTGAGGGGCCCCTTCTGTGCTGCTGGGGGACCACATGGGACACCGGGAACCAGACCCAAGTCACCGTACCACAGCACTCCTGCTCCAGCCCAGCCCACTCCCAGTGTGGCCCCACCCATCCTGAAGCGGCTGTGAGGCCTCTGAGCCTGCTGGGAGCTCCTGGTAATCAGGGCGGCACTAGTGCCCATGGGAGCACTGGGCACGAGGGCTGCCGTGTGGCTGCTTAGCCAAGACCAGCAGCTGAACCGTTCCTACTTGGATCTACTTATTCATTCTGACTCGGGAGGTGAAGCTACGATCCCGTTCATTCCCAGGCCTTAACTGGTGCCCATTTGGAAAAAGTGTGTTGCCAGTGTGTGGGAGAAAGAATGACTGAAAACACCCAGTAATTTCTAGAAAACATCAGAGCACACGGTGATGAAAGGGATCAGTGCCAGAAAGCTGCCGTGTGTGTGCCAGACTCCATGTCTGGTCACTGCTCTGACACAAGTGTCTCTTGGTCTCCCTGACTCTACCGGGCCCTGTCGGGTCACTCAACCACCAATTCTTCTTTTTTTTTTTTTTTATTAGTGAAACACCATGAGGTACAGTTGTAGATTTACAAATTTTTGTGCTTGGATCTCGGTCATACCACGATCAAATACCCATCCCTCCACCAGTGCCCATTTTCCACCACCAGGATAATATCCCTCCCCCTCATCCCCCCATCCCCCCCTGCCACTGTGGCAGGGCATTCCCTTTTGTTCTCTCTCTCCTTTTGGGTGTTGTGATCAGCAAAAGAGGCATTGAGTGGTGAACATGTTCAGTCCAGTCTACTTTCAACCTGCATCTCCCCTCCTGGGAGGATCCTCCAAACACCCTCCACTTGGTGTTGCCCTTTCTATCTGAATTGTCCTTTCCCCTAGAATACCTGGCTGGCCTCTAAGTTATGGAGTAATTCTCCTGGTGTTGATCTCAGCCATTCTTGGGTATTAATCTCATATTTTGTTACTTTATATCCCCCAGATGAATGCAATCTTTCTATGTCTACCCCTCTCTTTCTGACTCATTTCGCTTAGCATGATACTTTCCATATTGTACCACTTGTATGTAAATTTCATGACTTCATCTTTTCTAACAGCTACATAGCACTCCATTGTGTAGATGTACCAAAGTTTCTTTAACCAGTCATCTGTTCTCGGGCATTCAGGTTTCTTCCAGTTTCTGGCTACTGTAAAGAGTGCTGCAATGAACAAACAAGTGCAGATGTCACTTCGGCTACACATTTTTGCCTCTCTGGGATATATTCCCAGGAGTGGAATCGCTGGGTCAAATGGGAGCTCAATTTCTAATTTTTTGAGACTCGTCCATACTGTTTTCCAAAAGGGCTGAACCAGTCGGCATTCCCACCAACAGTGAAGGAGTGTCCCTTTCTCACCACATCCGCGCCAATAACGTCAACCACCAATTCTTGCCCCACACAACGACTCTGGCTTGTCCCTACTCCTCTGTGTGTCCGGGGCCTCTCTCGTCTCCCGGGTAAGACCACAGGAGCGGGGATGTCCTCTCTGCGGGACTCCGTGAGTAGAGAACTCTTGCTGGAGTTTCCTGGCAACGGAGCTGGGGCCGCCAGCACTGAGAGCCCCAGGATTGAAGAAGCTCCTGATCGCAGTTGGACCTTGAGTGCCACTGAGTCACACAGCACCACTTGGGCTCCAGTCAGTGCTGCCGCTTCCAGGGGATACCACGGGTGGGCCTCCCAGCTGCCCCGTGGGCACCTTCCCTCTACCCTGCTCTTCCTCCTCCCTCTGGGTCCCTCCCCACCTGTCTAGGGCCCTTCTTTCCCTGGGTCTCTCTCCCTGACCCCATCCTGGGGGTCTCTCCTCCCATGGCCCCTCTCCCCCTTCTTCTCTCTCCAGCTGCTCTGATTTTCTGCCCTTCTGTCTAAGCCTGGATGCCTAACACACTGCCACTCCGATGTGAAATTTTAGACTTGAAAGCTTCCCAGGGTAGAGAAGAGGCACTCTCACCTGTATCTCGTACAAGAAGTGTTCTGGCCCGAGGGAGCCCCTGGCTGGAGAGTGACGTGTGGTGACACCTGGGCTGACAGCAGAAAGCCCAGCGCCAGGACGACGAGTGCTACGGTGGTCCCTGAAACAAGAGGCACAAAGTCTGTCCAGCCCTCAGGTTAGCAAGCCTTCACTTGAAGTGGGCAGAGTGTGGCAAGCCAGGTCTAAGGCGCCCTTTCACTGGGCTGAAAGGATACCCCCAATCTGTGGGTCCTGCTGCCCCTCCACGGGGACAGAGCGGGCTTGAGTGTTTACCTGTCGGCTGGGCTAGGACCCTCGCTGGGCCTGCAAGACAGGCTTCTCTTGTTACCAGAACCACCCCAACCACTGATCTGGAAAGATCCAATTGGGACCAAGGAGGAACAAATATGGCATTTCAGAAGGGGCTGGAACATTTCTTATTAAGGAGGTATTGAAGACTTTTGGGTCCCAGAAATGGAACAGATCAATCCATCCTGGTTGTACCTGAATAAAGAAGATATGTCTTCAATTTTTTTTGTTTTTGGGCCATACCCGGCGATGCACAGGGGTTATTCCTGGCTCTGCACTCAGGAATTACCCCTGGTTGTGCTCAGGTGGACCCTATGGGATGCTGGGAATCAAACCTGGGTCGGCCGCGTGCAAGGCAAACACCCTCCCCGCTGTGCTATGGCTCCAGCCCTGTGTCTTCAATTTTAATGAACAGGAATAGTGATATGTTTATCACATAGAAAGTTCTGCTTGAGTCCCTGACGGACATTCTGACAGGAAACCATATTTCAGAGCTTGGATTACTGTTCCAGCCACGGTGCAGAAAACAGGAGAAAGGGGAACACACATGTCAGCACTAACTTTCATGCTGAGTGGATTATTTCATATTTAAAATAGGAACTTCACAGAGTGAAGTTTTCATTCCTTATCCTGGGAGGTGTTAAGGTACACTCAGATATATTTTAAAGACAGTGGACAGAGAGGGAGAGAGGAAAAGAGAAAGAGAAGAGGGAGGGAGGGAGGAAAGAGAGGGAGGAAAGAGAGGGAGGAAAGAGAGAGAGAGAGAGAAAGAGAGTGAGTTCATGGAGCATGGTGGGGAGGAGAGGGTTCAGGGTTCATGGGTCTCAGTGGGAGGAGGAACCCTGAACCAGGAGGGGAACAAGGATTCCTGGAATGTGGTGGGGGAGAATACTCGTGATCTCTGTGGGAAAGAGGGGTTCACAGCTCATGGTGGGAGAGAAGATCGGTGGGCCATGGTGGAGCGAGATGATTCCTCAATCAAAGCGGGAGACGATCCCTGCATCACGATGAGTGAGAGAGGGTTCCTGGACCACAGGGGAGACCGAAGTATTATTGGTTAAAACAGAATTTGTAAAATCTGGCCTGGAAACTGTTTGGGGGCCACCAGCAGAGCTCAGAGCTCACTCCTGGCTCTGTGCTCGGACCATGCTTGGGAGTTATACGCGGGGTCGGGGTAAAACCAGGACTGATGTATGTGATGTATGTGCAAGCAAGTGCCTTAGCTCACGCACCACCTCTTCAGTCCCCAAACTTTGTACTTCTATGGGAAAATGTTATCCTAACTCTAAAATGAATGTATAGAGGAAGAAGGAGTCTGCTTGTACATTTGAAATATGTCACAAAGTTCTCTGATGCGACCATATGAAGACAACACAGACAGGCCTCGTTACGGTCAACAAAAAAGCCCTTGCTTCAGGGAGAGAACAGAACAAGTAGGCAGAATTTAAAGAAAAAAGGCACTTGAAAAAATGAGAAACATTTTCTTGTTTACTAATATAGAAAACACATTTGGTCTAATCTTAATTTGCCCTAAACCAGGTTCAAATTAAAGCAATTTGTGCCTGCTTTGTGATTTTAAATTTTCTAAATGTAGAAATTGTTTTGTTCCACTATTCCACTGCTGAGTGTTTTGGGAAAATGCTCCACGAGTGCTTTGATATTATCCTAAAATTAAAAATAAGACAGGTTAAAGTGTGACTTATGAATACTTATGAAAGTTTTTCAGCCAAGGAAGGACAGAACAAAACAATTATCCTGGTCTCTTTTGTGACTATATCACAAAATAGCCTTCACAAATTCAAACTGTTCTAACAATTTCAGCGTCTCGCGTTCCAGTTTCTATTTTCATTCCCAGAACAGACCCAGTTCTTCCCGTCGTTCTGGCTAGCGTTTCAGTGCGCGCCTCTGTGGGCCTGTCCTCAGAGACCAGCCAGGACCATCCCCGACCCTCCACCCACCTGCCAGGCTCCCGAAGGTCAGCTTCCTGCGGCCCAACCTTTCCACCAGCCAGACGCCCAGCAGCGTGAAGAGGAAGTTGGTGAAGGCCGTGACGGAGGCCAGCCAGATGGCCAGTCTGTCGTCTCCCACGCCGGACATCTGCAGGATGGTGGCGCTGTAGTACCTGTGGGAGAAGCACGGCTGAGTTTCCGCACAGATGGAGCAAACCAGGGGCGTCGGGGGCTAGGGACGGGGTCACACAGACCGAACCAGCCAGGGGAGATGGGAAGTCCTGGAATGACTCAATTCACACCACAGGCTGAAGATCACAACTTAAGAGGATTTCATGCCAAGCGCACTCTTTTATTTTTTGAAAATTTTATTTCCCTGCTCTATGCTCACCGTCGCCCTGGCAGTGTCTGGGGGGACAATCTGGTGCGAACCCAGGTCTCAGGCCTGCAGAGCTTGTGCACCATCCCTTGGGGTCAGCATCCTGGCCCCAGGATTTGTTTTTAACCCAGTGCCAAAGGAAAAACAATAAAGCACTGAGAATTGTGTTCCGAGACGGCACTCACCCCCAAAGGGCTGTTGCTGGCAGTCTTGCTACAATGGGCAAAGGCAAGTTCCAGGTTTGGCTAAGATGCTGAGATGACACTGCAGGGAATAAGGGTCCAGAGCCGAAGCCAGTGGCGTCTGGGTTCTCGGCACTGAGCACAGGGTCCAGTGTTTATCTCTTGCGGCCAGCAAGGGGCCAATGCCTCTGAGTACTGGCGGGCTGGTGGGTCTGACCGTCTTCACCATAGTCCCAATCGCATCAGAATCCTTCTCCACGCCTGCTCTGTCCACACTAACATCCACAATCCCCATCTCGTTTGTTTCTGCCTCTGCTGTCTCGATGTTTGAGGCACCTTCTCCACGGCACAGCCTGGTCTCTACCCCCAACTCCCCATACCGCCCCCCAACACAAACACAATCCATCTCCAGTCACACAAGCGGGCTTGGCGCAGGGCTTGGGGAAGTTCAGGGTTTAAATCACGGGCACCCACACCTGAGCCGCAGGGGACCGAGGGGCGGGCACAGCCAGGGGCCTGCCCGAGTGGAGCAGCACCCACCCTCTCTAGTCCTTCCCAGTGTGGTGGGCAAGCGTCCAGATGCTGCGGCTTCACTGCACAGGTTACGGAACACATTGTTCATCTTTGTGCATGTAGCAGAAGAAAATGGAAAGGGAACCGAATAAGAGCAGAGATTGCTGGAGTTCAGCGCCTGCCCTGCATGTGACGAATCCCTGCCCAACCTCGACGCACACCCTGAGCACTGCTAGGAGTGGTCCCTGAGCACAGATCAGTACCTAGGGGCTGCTAACTGTGGCTTCAGAACTGAAGGTGTGAAAGTATCTGTGCACGGAAGAGCCAGTCTTATCCATTTGTCCTCCCCTCACCCCTCGGACTGAGGGTTATCTCAACAAGCTGTTGACTGTAACAAATCTGCAGCATGCACCCACGAACCCTCCAACCCGGACATGCAGCGACCAAAGGCTCTCGGCTTTGCCCCCTAGGAGTTCTAAAATTAAGTTAATCTATGGAACACAGAGAAGCCGAACAAGGGAGTAGGCAGTACCGAGTGAGAGTGAACCTTAGACTTTGATAAACATGAGGCTACCATAACCAAGCTCATTGAGGTTTCTCGGGAGTTCAAGATGCCGCTCTGCTTAACGTTCATTGATTTAAAGAAGGCCTTTGATTCTGTTGAGATGGAAGCGGTCATTGAAGCCCTAGCCAATCAGGGCATTCAAGCCCAATACATCAGGATCCTCCGTGAGCTGTATCGCGGATTCACTACCAGGATCTCACCATTCTACAAAGAAGTGATCGTTGATGTCAAGAGAGGGGTGCGGCAGGGTGATACCATTTCACCGAAACTCTTCAGTGCCACCCTCGAGAACATCATGCGACGACTGGAATCGGAAGGAATGGGAGTGAAGATAGATGGTCGGCAACTACACCACCTCCGCTTTGCTGATGACATTGTTTTAATAACACCAAACATTAGCCAAGCGGCACAAATACTGGCTGACTTCGACCGTGAGTGTGAAAAGGTCGGACTACAGCTGAATCTTACGAAGACAATGTTTGTGAGAAACAGCCTTGTTCCTGACGCCCCATTCGCTCTCAACGGAACGACCGTCTCCGAATGCAACAGCTATGTGTACCTAGGTTGAGAAGTCAACATGACAAATGACCTGGCACCCGAGCTGCGCAGGAGGAAGAGAGCGGCTTGGAACGCCTTCAAGAACGTCGAAGAAATAGCTAAGAGGACGAAGAACCTCCGGCTCTGGGCACATCTCTTTGATTTCACTGTTGTTCCTGCATTAACATATGCCTCAGAGACCTGGGCCCTACGCAAACAAGATGAGAACGCTATTCAGGTCTACCAAAGAAGAATAGAAAGAGCTATGCTTGGAATATCACGTTTCACTCAAATGAGAGAGAGAATCCGGAGTTCTGACATCCGTCGACGATCAAGGATCAGGGACGCTGTCTCATTTGCCAAGGTGTCGAAAATCAGATGGGCTGGTCACGTGATGAGATTTAAAGACGACCGTTGGACTAGAGCTGTTACTGATTGGATTCCACGGGATGTCAAGAGACCGCGTGGCCGCCCACCTACCAGATGGTCAGACTTCTTCGTCAAGATCATGAACGATCGGTTTGAGGCTCTTCATGTTCCCAGAGCGAACAGATGCCATTGGGCTACACTAGCACGCGACAGGGACAAATGGAGACGTTACTGGCGCCCGCTCGAGCAAATCGACGACTAACGGGAACTTAAGTGATTAAGTGAGGCTACCAGCTTGTGGGGGTCTGCGGGGGGAAGAGCCAGCGTGAAGGAGACGTAGGGCTGTGGTGAAGGGGCAATAAACTTATACATCAAGCTCTGAGTACTAATGCTATGACAACTACTCAACCTAAACCACAATAAAACAAAAAAATGAGAAAACCTAAACCACAATAAAACAAAAAAATGAGAAAATTAAAATAAGGCGGGAGCGAAGGCGCTGCCTGTGTGCAGCTGGCCCCTGCGGGATCCACGGCACCGTGTGCTTTCCCTGTGCATCACCAGAAGTAGCTCCTGGGGCAGTGCTGGGTACGGCCCCAAGCCCCTCTTCCCCCCAATTAAATTAACAAATGAGATGGAACAGTTTTTTATTACCAAAGTGAAATCAGGAGAAAAGGATGTCTAACCGAGGTTTGCCATCTCGGGAGAGCTCAGTATTCCCTTGTACTCCACATGCATCAGTCCTCTTAGTTTACCTTCAGGCTAATTTAGTCCCCCCTCCTTTACATAACCTCAGCTATCTCCTGTTACTAGCAGACAGCAGATAGCTTCATGTTCAAACTCAGAAGAAACTAGCAACTGGCATGTGAATACTTCCCAACAGTTCTGAGTCTGATTTCTGCTGAGCTACAGCTCCAGGAGATGGTCTGTCCCTGATTCAGGACGAAGGGAAAGTAAGACACGCAATGAGCAACGAATAAGAGGGATAGAGGCAGGAATAAAGACCACATGGAAACAGACTACGGCGTTGAGTCCCATAAACAACTCTGAATGGCAGCTACAGCTTAAGTCTAAATTGGCCTGACATTGATACCACGCAAGGGCCAGGAAGATTGCTCCACGGCTGGAAGCCTGCCTTGTGAGCTGGGGGAGAAGGAAGCTGGGATGGAGAAGGGACCACTAAGTCAGTGATGGTTGGAGGGATCGCTCGGGATGGGAGATGTGTGCTGAAAGTAGATAAAGGTGGCCCAACATTGGTGGTTGGAAAATGTGCACTGGTGGAGGGATGGGTGTTCGATCATTGTATGACTGAAACTCAAACATGAAAGCTTTCTAACTGTAGCTCACAGTAATTAAAAAAATATGCAAGCAAAAAAATAATTGGCCTGACAGATGTAGATCAGTTGCTTACAAAGTCCGAATGACATTCAGAATCTGAATATGGTACTGCTGCTCTTAGTTCAGTTGTAGACTTAAAGGAGTTTTCCAAAAAGCACATCAATAACAAAGACACAGTCATAAATTTATCAGGTGTGCCACTGATTTTTTATTTGGTATGTAGACATGTTGTGAAATAAGGTTATTGAACACATTCAGCAATTTACATAGTTCCATTTTTCCCTCCTGGGATGGAGCAGATGTTTTAAGATCTAGTCCCTTAGAAATATTTATACACAGAACACAGATGACTGTCATCTCCTTGACACGCCAAGCTCTTATGTGGAACCACCAACCTGCTGTGTCTCTATGAGTTTAGAAATTCAGATTCCACATAGGTGATATCACACAGTCTTTGTCTTCTTGGACTTGACTTCACTAAACATAATGCAATAAAGATTCCCTGTTCTTGCAAGGTAAAGGTAAAGGTAAAGGCCCTCCCGTTGATCGTCGATTTGCTCGAGCGGGCCCAGTAATGTCTCCATTGGAGACTTTGTTGTTACTGTGTCTGGCATATCGAATATGTCACAGGGAGCTTGCCAGGCTCTGCCGTGCGGGCGAGATACTCTCGGTAGCTTGCCGGGCTCTCCGAGAGGGGCGGAGGAATCGAACTCGGGTCGGCCATGTTGGCCGCTTGTAAGGCGAACGCCCTACCCGCTGTGCTATCGCTCCTGCCCTTGCAAATGACAGAATTTTCTTCTTTTCTAAGAATGCATACTATTCTAATTCTTACTAGCAATACAGTTAGAGAAACATACATGTCTGCATCAACCATGTTTCCTTGACTCAATCACATCCTGCCCACAGTGCCTGCGTTCCAATTCCACACTTCGGCTGTCATGCCCAGAGCAGGAATGAAGAGGGGATGGGTATCCCATCATCCTAAGTCCTTCTGGCCTCTAAGCCCACAAGTGGAGTAACTGGACTTGTGCAAGTTCTATTTTTAGTACTTTGAGGAAACTCCTTATGGTTTCCACGGAGGGCATGCCAGTTCACAACCTCACCCCTCACGCACATCTCCCCATCCCTCTCCAACACGTATGTCCTCAGTTCTTTTGACAGCAGCCAATCGCTCAGGTGCAAGGGAATAGCTCACTGTGATTCTGATTTGCATTCTCCTGGTGATTAATGATGGTGAACTTTGAACCTACTGGCTACTTACATCTTCTCTTTGGGAAGATGTCTATTCAG